AAATAATGTTGATTGATTGTATCCCCTTTGTGAGGAGGGAACCCAGACCCAGATCAATTACAAAGAACCCTCTGGGGACCTTTGAGCAGGCGACCAGCTCCGGGGACCTGCCTATGAGACATTTTCCAAAGGGGCTCCAGTCACAGGCCACCGTCCTTGGGAGAGCCAGGATTGACTGTGTACCTGCCTAGTTCCTGGACTTTGATCTCCCATCTGACCTCCTTCTCACCCCTGCTCTCATCTGACAACTCCTGCTGGGTTGACCCCATCTCTGACCCCAGCCTGCCCCAGTTTTCAGCCTCACTGCTCCAGGCTGCGATCTCACATGATGACAGCTTGAGGCAGGACAATATTTGTATCAGCCACCAATAATAACAGCAAGATACCATCTCTTCTAATAATGTAGTGACAAATAGAATATTCATGTCAAAAGAACTGTGTCTTTCAGAGTGGAATTCAGGTATCTTAAAACAACTCTGCAACTGTCACTGAAAATGAGATGTAGAAACAGTGAGAAATAAATGGCCCTTGGTACTAACTGGAGCAAACGTTCTTTCATTGATTAAACAAATGGTTATTGAGAGCCAATTTTATGATGGTTTTTATGTTAACACTGGGGGCAAAAAAGATGAACAAGACATTGTGTCTGCCCCCAAGGAGTTCCCTCATACTCATCTGCTGTGGGATTCAGAGAAGTGATGCTTCCAAGATTAGTCAATGGATGTGACCAAAGAGAAGAAAGCCTGCAGGATTGCACTGTCAGAGAAGGGCTGGTTCTAGATTTATCTGAAGTTCCAAAGTCCCTTAAATACTGGAGCAGCCTATGGAAGCTTGGAAGAGCCGGTAATGAGTCTTGGAACACAAACACCTTTTAAAAACCTAATGTCCTTGTAGATATAATCAAGTTAAGATGAGGTCTTAGAGCTTCACTGTGGCTCAGCTGGTAAAGAATCCACTTGCAATGTGAGAGACCTGGGTTTGATCCCTGGGTTTGATCCCTGGGTTCCCCCTAAAGAAGGGAAAGGTTACCCACTCCAGTATTCTAGCCTGGAGAATTCCATGGATTGTATAGTGGATATGGCTGAGCGACTTTCACTTTCACTTTACTGGATTAGAGTGGGTTCTAATCCAACAGGACTAGTATCCTTATAAGAGGGAAAGTTGCACACAGACATACAGGGGGAATGCTGTGTGATGATGGAGGCAGAGATTGGAGTGATACACGCATAAGCCAAGGATTGCTGGCAACCACCAAAAGCTAGGAGAGAGGCACTGATTAGATTTTCCCTCTTCACCCACAGGAAAGAACCAATCATGCTGGCACATTGATTTTGGACTTCTGGTCTCCTGAATTTCGAGAGTAAATTTTTATGTTGTTTTAAGTCACCTGGTTTGTGGTATTTTGTTACAGCAGCCCTAGTATACTAATATACTTATCCAAGGCCATTATTTGGAAATCATCCCACTGATGGATATTAACAGAACCCATAAAAGCACCAGCGGCCCTGACATCTCTCCAAATGTTCACTGAAGATGAGTCATCATTGTGTCTCTCATAGATCTCTGGGGGGAAAAAAAAAGCAGCAGCAGCAGCCTGATTCCCCCAGGGAGAGGGAGGAATGATTATTTAGCAGGAAGAGGATGCTAGGAGATGGGGAGGAGGGTTGCCAGCTGCTTCTCTTCCCCAATGGGGACAGTCCAAGAAAAAAAGGATGCTTTCATCACTATAAGAGGATGTCACAGTCATTTACTTTCACCCATTCAGTAAACACACATGGAGCACTTACTGTGCTGGGCACTGCTAGCCACCAGGGAGAGTGTTTGTATGGATGGGAGAGGAATGCTAAAGAAAGAGAACTGAGTTTCGAGAGCTGAGCTAGAGTGGAAAGCATGGAGGGTCATTAGCATGGACTTGGGTATTAGACAGTCCAGGCTTGAATCCTGGTTCCACCACTGACTTCCACTGTGTTTTGGGGCAAGTTCACATCTTGGACTCCAGGTGTTCATTCTACTCTAAGTATATATGATATATAGCACAGGGCCAGTGTAAGTGCTCACTAAATATTAGTTCATTATTGGAAAGTAAAGACATCACTAGAAATATCTCAGTAAAAGAGAAATGTGATTATGATCAAGAAGGATCTCTGTCCTGAGAGTAGGAGGCCCTCATCACCTCCTACCAGAAACCATCTGACTAAATGCTCAGAACAACTCCAGGAGGAAGTAAGTCTCATTCTACAAATAATGTAACTCTGGTTTGAGGATGTAAAATAACGACCAGTTTCACAGAACAGAATGTGGCAGAGTCCACAATCCAAGTAGAACCCTGAAGCACACCTTCTTCCTGTTGCAAGTCAGAGGGGCAAGGGGCAGCATACAGTTCGTAGGATCCAAAGCATTTTGCTTAGGGCTGTGGTCGCCTCTACAGAAAGGACACTGTTTGTATTGGACTCCATGTTTATTTTGTTGAATTAGCAAACATATCTCTAGGGCTTCCTATTGGGTGTTCCAAGCACCTTATGTGAGTAACTCATTTATCTTCACAAGAGCCTGTAAGGTGGCCACTGTATTTTTCCCATTTTGCAGATGTGGAAATTGAGACACAGAGAGGTTAGGCAAGTTTCCCAAGGACACAAAGATAGAGAATAATGGAAGCAGGGTTCATACTTGTTTCTTCAGCTGCAAAGACAATGCGCTTAAATACTGTCTGCACCGCTCCATCTTTCAGGATGGTGGCAGATCGGCTGTTGAAGTGTGTGCATGGGGGGACGAGGAAAGGATTAACATCCGCCCTTGCAAACCACCCTTTGGTGCTATTGCTGCAATAAGCCCTGAGTAATTTGACCCTATAAGGTGAATGGCAGGATGGGGGCTGTTTAGCCCTGGGATTCTCTGAGTCAACAGCTTCTCATCACGGCCCCACTTCCTGAAAACTCTTTACGCCTGAGCTTTGGAAACCCTTTGAGCACAAAGAACTCATTTCCTGTGGCCAGGAAGGTCGGGAAGAGTTCCTGATGACAGCTCATCTCCCTCATTAAGGCGCTCATAAAAGCGTTTCAAGAAGCCTGACTTATGGCTCCGCTGTTTGTCAAGATCCCTTTTTGCAAGGAGCCACTCCGGTAATTTGGTGCTAGGAGATGTACAGGAGAAACCAGCTCCTTTGAGTCCAAGAATTATTTATGATCCTAAGAAGAGAGGATGTCGTTTGGAGAGATAACAAGCCTTCACCAGCACAACAGGCTGTTTAATATGCCACAAGAGATGAGAGACAGCTCCAGAATTCCAAAGCCAGCTAGGAAACCTTGAGAGATTCTGTACATGTGGGTTGCCTGTTCCTGCAAAAGCTCCTGTGTCAATAACAGCTAACAATTATGGAGGTTTTACTTCTAAGCCATAGCTTGTGCTAAATACTTTTTGTTCATTAATTCATTTGATTCTCATACCATTCCTATCCTATTTTACAAATGAGGACACTGAGGCAGAGCAGTTAAGTAACTTTCCCTAGGTCACACAATTAGTGAGTAAGCAAATTAGGATTTTAACCCAATTAGGTCTGCCTCCAAGTTTGGGCTCTTGAACACCAAACATCACAGCTTAGGAGGAAATTGGGCTTTAAGTCAGCCCAATAAGGCTAAATGTACTTACAGGCAAAATTACATTTGCTAATCTCTTAAAATGCCTATAAAGTTTAGCATATTTGGTTTGAGGTATTACTATTTTGTCCAATGATTAGTTAGAGATCCACTGAGCTAAACTAGAGGAAGAAGTAGAGGAAAGCCTAAATGTAGGTGCCTATTCTTTTAAGCTATTCTGCCTTCACCAAACTATCAAATTCCCCAGGGGTAAAATTGAAGAGCTGAGAATTATAGAGTGTCCTTAACCCACCTGCAGGGGTGACTCTGTTTTCCTTTAATATTTAGCCTCTGTGACCTTAACACGTATCACTGTCATGTAATATTAATCTTATAGAGAACATGGTCACATCTTAAGAGGATAGGAGAGAAAGTTTTGTTTGAGAAGGAGTTCTGAAGTCTGAATCTAAATTAAATGAGCCTAGTCCTAATGAGACTCTAGGAGACTAGCTTTGGAGCCAGATAAACCTGGATTTGAACCCTTATCTGTTACTTCCTAGCTGTGTAACCTTGGGCAATTTACTTAACGTCCCAAAGCCACAGTTTCTTATTATGTAAAATGGTCATAGCGATGTCATCACGTTTGAATTAAAAAGTTTATAAAGTAGCAAGCTTGTGTGTAGATCATAGTGATTAAGCACTAGTTCTTAATAGCTGTTTGACCAAAGACAGATCACCATCACCTCTCAGAGCCTCATTTCTCCTCATCTGCAATTTGGGCATCATTGTTCTGCCTACTGATCTCAAAGGTCATTGCAAGGAAACACTAAAGTCCTGTACACAGTTTCTATGAGGATTCTTCCAGCTGCTTGGTATACCTGGAATTGTGAGGAGGTGCTGGGAGACCCCTACTGGAGAAAATAACTCTGGGGGCCTGAAGTCAGAAATGGGCTCCGATCTCTAGTTTTGTCATTCAGCGTGCCTCTGTGACTTTGGGTGAGTGACCTACCCTCTCTGAGCCTCCTCTTTGCCTTCTACCAAGTGGGGTTACAGACATCACAGAGTTATCCAGGGAATCATATTCTGCAGAAAAGTGTTAGACCCATAGTAAACGAACGATAAATGTCTGCTGAATCTGAATCCTTCTGAGAGGAGCCAAAGGAGCCAAATTCAGCCCCTCGCTTTCCACGGGGTGGGAAATGTGGGGATGCCTTCACACCAGCTCAGGTAGGGAAGATGCTCTGTGCCTCCCCCCATTCCCCCCTCCCTCCCAGACGTTGCCATGGCCACCGGTTCAGGCCCGGAGCAGCACCTAGGCATGTTCAACCCAATCCCCGCCTCTCCACAGTGCCAATTGGCTGGAGAGGCCACGTGACGCACGCTGGTATGCTAATATATGGTAATAGCCCCCACGCCCCTCCTCCCCAGGCCTTGGCCGAGTAGCCAGCAGGGTGCGCGGCGCCGAGCCGAGGGGGCGGGCTGAGGGGCGGCCCCCGGGAGAGAGCAGCCAGGTGGAGGAGGAGCGCGAACGCGACCGCAGGTAACGGGCGGGCGCGTGCGCGCTGGGGCCGGCTCGCGGCGGACTGGCAGCGCGTGGGGCACTCGGGCCGCCGCGCTGCCGGCTTAACCCTTTGGGCACCCAGCTGTCAAGGCCGGGCCGGGCCGGGCCGCGCTGGGCGGGGCATTGCCGTGGGCACCGGCAGGCAGGCGGCGGCGGCCTGACCCGGGATCCGCGCCGTGGGGCCCGCGTGGGGGCCGAGTAGCCCGGGCGAGCTGATTGACCGGCCGCCGCGCGCCCTGGGGGTCGGGACGCAGCCCGGCGAGGACTGCGGGATAGCTCTGGGGCCGGGACTTGCGGGGGGCTGCGGGGAACCGGCTGGAGTACCCGCACTCGCGCGGTTTCTCTGGGTGGAGGGGCCGAGTCCCCCACCCCCCCACCCCCACCGTCCAGAGGCCCGCTCCTGAGTAGCCCGTGGCCTTGCGCGGCCTGCGTCTCCTCCGCGCGTCCCGCGCAGTGCGAGGAGACCTGGGGGTCGGGCCCGACCTCGGCGCCCCCTCCCAGCCGCGGCCTGACAGCCCAGCCGCCGGCACTTTTGACCTGGAGTCAAGCTGGGGCCCCAGTGGGACGAAGGCAAGAGCGGTGCTTGGGGGGCACCAGCCAAGGGACCTGGGGATTGTCGGTGCTGGGAGGAACTGACAATCCCCTAAAGGAAAAGCAGGCCCCCCAAGATTTGCCAGGTTTCAGAAGGAGGGATGCCCAAGAAAGGCACTGGCCCCTGGTTTTCTGTGCTGGGTGATGACCTGCCACTCATGGGGAAAGGTCACTGCTGGACACCTGGATCGGGTCTGTCATGTCCAGAGGAAGCGGCTGTTTGCGTGAGTTTCTCACAAATTTCTTATTAGGCCAGGATTAAATTTATCTTCCTCCCTCACTCTATTAGGTCTGCTACAGAAGTGTGTTTTTTTAATTACCCACCACCACCAATTCACTAAGAAGGGTGGCAGCTTTAGGCTTACAGTGTAATTTAGCTTTCACTACAATAGGCATGGTAGGATGGGCCATGTGCCACTAATACTAAGCTTGCCCTGGGAGCTTCTTGGAAGTGGGGGGGCGGGGTGGGAGAGAAGACGGCTATTTCTCTCACCAGTGCAGATGACCGGTGATATCAATAGAATTTCTTTTATGAGTCTAAAGTCCTTTCTTCTGAATCAAGGGAAAGTGCAGTTACACATGAAAAGTACCAGGAACCAATTTGATTTTTGCAAGTGAAGTGCAAATTTCACTTTCATGTTGCTCTTGATGTCTTTTATCACACAACAAACTCTTGCTGTTTGCCAGGCACTCTGCTATGTCTTGGGGATGCAAAGATGAATAAGATAATTAATCCTTGTCCTCAGAGAAGTAGTAGGAGAGACAGAAAGAAAATTGCCAGTTAAAGTGGTAACAGCATAATAGATGTGTCCATAAAGAAGCACAGAGGAGGGAACAGATAACTGTGAGAGGATTCGGGAAGGCTTCCCAGAAAAGAACATGTTTAAGTAAGGTCTTGAAGGATGAATAGGAGTTTGCCTTGCAGGGAAATTGGGAAGAACAAAAACCGCAGTCAAAGCAGAGGAAACTGTGAATATAGATGCTTTAGGAGTATAGTATCTCTAGGCAATGACTTTAATGCAGCCATAGCCTTTTTCCTTTCTCAACAAAGTAACCTAGAATTTCTAATTCCCACCACAGTTTCCACTGATAGATTCCATCTTGTTGATCTCCCCCACGTTTTTCCCTCATCATTTTTTTGAGCTTCACTCCTGGTCTTTATCATTCATATCTTTCCAAGAAGGGTCCAACCATATGAAGGTGGGAAAGGAGTCATTGGCTATAGCTCCAAGGTAGAGGACTGGAACCTTGGGCATAGATGTGATGCTAGAGGCACCATCCCAGGAGGGCAAGTCTAAACTATACAGTAAGGGGGCAATATGGGTCATACCCAGGGAAGCCATGCTGAATGTCCAATCTGTGAGGTCAGATTTGTGAGACCTTGGGAAGTGAGTAATCAGATGAGAAGCTGGAAGGATCTGGACTGTGATGTGGGTCAGGACAAACAGTTTGGGACTGAGACCATAAATCATGCAGAGATGATAGAGCCTGCTGTTAGTGGTCCAGCCCTGGAGAACAGAGTTGGATCTGACAGCTTCAAGCAACTGAAGAAAAGGACAAAGAGGATAATAGTAAGATGATAGTAAAAAGAAGTAAGAACAGAAAGAAGGAAGTATGAATATTTCCAGTACTTCCTTCTTTCTGTTCTTACTTCTTTTTACTATTATCTTACTATTATCCTCTTTGATCCAGTTTCCACTCACGATTCACTTTGATTAGGCTTCTTTTACTGAGGTCTTAGCTACCAGAGCAGAGAAAATACTGTTCTACTGCCTTAGCATCCACTTCTAGAACCGTAAGTAGTCCATTTTTCTCTCATAAGTCATCAACTTAGCCAGCCTGTTTTTACTTCCTGCTCATTTGGAAACAGAGGAAGGGTGTACCCAGAGGTGGTCAAGTACCTCATCCCCAAAACTGACCTAATGTTTGACTCAGAGAAAGGGCCTTTTAGCTTTGCTGAAACCAAAATTTATTTTTAGAATGGAACATGGTGAATTTTTGGCAAATCCCCCTCTTGAACTCAATTACAGATCAAGCCTCATAAAGAACATGACACTGGGTTGATATGCTTAATTTGCTCTGCTGAGATTGACAATTCTGTAAGTGCTGAGAATCACAGGTGCTACTTAAGCAATCTTCTCAATCAGCATGTTTACTGAGCACCTGCTTGTGTGTAAATAGTGTGCTGTATTTGAGCTTTGGAGGAGACAGGAAAATGAGAGAGGTGGTATGGTCCAGGGGTTATTCTCAGCTAAACAAGGATTTGGATCCCAGGTCTAGAAGATACTTGCTGTGTGGCTTGGGCATGTTATTTGACCTTGTTTCTTTGTGTGTAATAATGCCACCTACTTTATAAACTTGTGAGAATTCAGTATAAAGCATACTTCCGTAAATTTTCAAAGTACTAAACGTATGATAGTATCAGAATTCCAAAGAGATCATTGTGGACTATGATTATCAAGGAAGACTTTTTTTCAGAGATATGGTGGATTTAGTTATATACAGAGAAGGAAAGTGGGAGGGATTTCTGGACAGGAGAAAATATGTTCATAAAACACAGGACTGGAGCATGGAGGAGAGTTTTCAGGGGTCAGCTGATGAAACTGACCAATGTGGCAAGATCAGAAGATTTAACTATAGAAGTTGTAAGATTGGAAGTGTTGATTGAAGCCGGATTTTTTTTAATTTATTTTTTTAATTGAAGAATAATTACTTTACAGTATTTTGTTGTTTTCTGTCTGAAACTGGATTTTAACAGGCATTGAATGCCAAACTGAGGAGTTAGGGCTTTATCCTGTATGATGGAAAGTCTGAAGATGTTTGGTTAAGGAAATGGGGGCTATAAAAGTAGTATGTTAAGAAGATTCTCAGCAACAGTGTATAGAATAAACTTTAGAAGGGGTAGAAAGAGAACTGTACAACCAATTAGCTGGTTATTTAAATCATTTAGGTGTGAGGGGATGAGGAATTAGGATGATGGCAGTGAAAATAGAAAGAGGTAGGTTCAGTAAGTGTTCTAAAGCAGGGGTCCCCAGTCTCTGGGCTGTGGTCTATTAGGTCAGCTGCATAGCAGGCAGTGAGCAGCAGGTAAGGGAAAGAAGCTTCATCTGTGTTTACAGCCACTCCCCATCACTCACATTACTGCCTGAACTCTGCCTCCTGTCAGATCAGTAATGGCATTAGATTCTCATAGGAGCTTGAACCCATCTGTGAACTTAGCATGTGAGGGATCAAGGTTGTGTATTCCTTATGAGAATCATCCTGAAACCATCCCCCCACTAGCCCCAGTCCAAGGATGAATTCTCTTTCATGAAACAGGTCCCGGTGCCAAAAAGATTGGAGACCACTATTATAAAGGAAGCATGAACAGTACTCTGACTGATAGATATGGAGAACAAGAAGGAAGGGAGAATCAAATATAGTCTTGAACTTGAGTGACAAGATCAACAGAAATAAGACAGATGGAAAGAAAAGGCAGTTTGGGGGAGAAGAGGAAAAGCTCAGTGCTAGATATCTTGAGGTGATACTGGAATTTATAAGTGGGTGCATCCCCTAATTATTTGGAAACTGGTGGGGGAGGCACTAGTGTTCAAAAGAGAGAAGTCAGGGAGTCTTATATGTAGGTGATAATTAAAGCCATGTGATTAGTGTAGTTCCCACTTGATTCTTAGTGGTGTGACAGCCTAGAAATAGAGGTGTAGAGGACCAAGGCTATGCATGGAGATTGCCCGCATTCAAGGAGGTAAGAAGAATAAATGGGGTCAGTATGGTGGAAAATAAGGAATATCACAGAAACAAGAGAATCATCTCATTTATTCACCCCACAAATGCATCCTCTTCATGGCCATTTATTTAGGTACCTGATAGATACCTATCAGACATGCTGTTGGCCATGAGGGTATAGTATTGCAGAAGTGAAAAGAGAGCGTTTCAAGCTGAAGGGATTGATCAGCAGTATGAAATTTTACATAAAAAGTGGGAAATGTCCATTCTATTTAGTGGACAGGAGTCATTAGTAACTTTTGAAAAATAACCTCAATTCTGTGGAGGATAGCCATAGGGATATTAAATACCAGATTAAAGAGGATGGGGGCATGAGATATGGGTAAAAAATGGAGACAGCATGTATTTTACCTTCTGCATGTTTGGCAGTAAAAGGAAAAAGAGAAAGGGAAGAGATTAGAGAAGGCAGAAGAGTTGAACAAAAGATTTGCTCTTCCCTGTCTACTTCATTATTTTAGTTGTCCTGAAATATCATTTTCATTCTTTCATATCCTTAACAGCAGTTCAGCAATTCATTTCTTAAACTTACTGCTTTTAGAATTACCTGTACATTTCATTGAACAATAATAGATAGCTACTATTTATTGAGTGCTTACCTGTGTTAAGCAC